TAAAAGCCAAGTGGAAACTCCATATCAAGTTATGAATTTGACATCCACCAGGGCTCAGAAAGAGACAGGGTTTGTGCCTTTTCTTTGCAACCTGAACTTCCCGCAGCAGCCAGCCAAATGTGAACGAGGTCTGAGAGGCTGCTGAACCACTGCCAAATGACACTGCATTCCACTGGCAAAACGGCAGCCCCTGCTGTTCTTTTTGCTGACAGGTATCTATTTGGAACTCCTTCTAGAGAATGCAGGGACAGCTCTCATCCTTGATCTTTTGGCTTGGTTCCCAGGGAGACCTCCGCGTGTTATGTTTTATTCATGGTGTCGCCCAGGCTGGTTTCTTCATTGGAAAAACTGGGGTGGGGGGCGGCAGGGACAATCAATGAACCTGAAATAAAATTTAACTGTCCTAATAAAACCACCCCTGTGTGTGCTGAAAGCCTGCACCCAGACCGTGAGATTCTGGGGGGAGGTCTGGGTTTTGAGGATTTTTAAGGCAAAGCATCCACAGAGACAAAAATATATAGTTATTCATAGTGTGGTGGAGTAGTGAGAGAAACAGGTCAGATAAGCCAGAATAACCTTTGCTGGGAACACAGGAAGCTTCAGACATCTGAAAGTGGGGGGAAGAAAGATGGCGCGGCGGATGAAAACAGTCCACTGAGAGCTGCGGTCACCAGTGGGGACGTTGCGAAGACTACAGCGCCGACATTTATTCTAGTATCTCCCTAAGAAATTGCATCCCCATTGTCTTAGCTGTAAGAATTTTATATCTTCCTACTTCACTAGGTGGGGATTTGCAGGAGAAGGTACAAGCTAGCATTGCTTCCATCTGCCCCATCCCCATGACAAAACCAAACAGCACCAATGGCCGAGTATTACAGAGGACAGAGACCATTATACTCCATCATCTACAAATGGACGCATGTGTTTACCTTGAGAATTATGGTCTTCTCGTGACGGGTGATGTTGACACTGTGGGGCTGTCCATTCGCCATGTTCCTGTGGTCTACGTCAATGTTATATGGTTCTCTGGTGCCACCCAGATTGTACCGAATCTGTAAGCTTCCTGAATAAGGAAAAGGACAGAGGCTCAGCAACTCCCTGCTCTACGTTTCATTTCATATAACTTTCCCCACCCCCTCCCGGATGCTTAGGTTTCCATTGAACTCGGCTTCCTCCTTTGATGTCCATCAACATCACTGCCGTCCTGACTCGCCAGCTCAGCGGTGTGCTAATCCATAAGGGTGACCAGCACCGAGCACACATGTGTTGACCGTCTATCCACAATGAGCCATCCGTGTGACCATGGTCTCAAAGTTGTAGCAGCAAATGGTATAGAAGATGCAAACTGGGAGCATGCCTGGGAAGGAAGGATGAGAATATATACACCATGTAGGACTGTGGAGAAGCCTGCAGGCCCCACAAAATACTCTGTGAAATGAAAAATAAATTAACGAGGCAGGGAGGGAGGGTCTCATGACACCAGCCAAGTGTGCTATTCGGCATATGAAAGAATCGCGAGCATACAGTATTAAAAATAAACACAATTTATGAAAGATAAAGACATGGGCTCTTGGGTGGCTTCACTGAGACCAAGAAAGCAAAGCAATGGATTTTATTAGAGGCCAGAGACTATATCAATCCAAACGCAAAACAAAGGAAAAGATGGGCTCCCGGGTCCCCGAGTCCTTGGCATCTCAGTTATAGCTCACTTTGCCTCGACAAATTAGTTTCCCGCCCTTTCTGTTTCTTTCCAGTAATGACAAACTATATGCAAAAAGTCTAATGTAATATTCTAGCTCCTGCTTTTAATAAATCTGCATACCAAATGTAACTTTATTATTTATGATTTTTAACATCAATATTTTTATCTCATCTTTTACTCAAATCGGACTCTTCATGTTAATAGCTTTTGACATCTCAGAACTTAAACATGGAGCCAGCCATCTCGCGAGCGTTTGACCAATTGTAAATCCCTTCATAGATTCTTTGTCGGCACTTTCATTTCTTCTTCTAGAGCAGCGGTTCTCAACCTGTGGGTCATGACCCCTTTGGGGGGTCGAACGACCCTTTCACAGGGGTCGCCTAAGACCATCGGAAAACAAAAAGATATTTACATTACGAATCCTAACAGTAGCAAAATTACAGTTATAGAGTAGCAATGAAAATAATTTTATGGTTGGGGGTCACCACAACATGAGGAACTGTATTAAGGGGTCGCAGCATGAGGAAGGTTGAGAACCGCTGTTGTAGAGGAACAAAACTGCTGTTCTGAGTTTTAAGTTGTGAAATAAAACATAATTAGAACTTTGTAAACAGAAAGAAGAAATAATCAAAGAAAGTCACTGGAAACCCCACCACCCAGAGATAACTACTGTAAATGTTTGGTAGTATCTCCTTCCAGATACTTCTCAGGCCCTTACACGAACACAAACAAATGCAATAGTGTGTGAATGCTGTCCTTCCTTCTTTAGGCATTCTAGCATTACGTGTGCCATTTAAAATGTTCCACCATGTTCCCTGGGTTGAAAGAAACATTCATTAGAACAATCAAGCATGAACTGCATTGGCTGCCCTTGTTTTCTAAACAAATTGGCGAACCTTTGCGCTTCTGAGTTTGGCCTTGGGACTTGACCCTAGATTCCTGTGCTTATGGCATTTCAACCAAGCGCTGTTGATGTCTGTCTCCTAAATGTGTCTAAATTCACCCCCTCTTCTCCATCCCTATGACCACAGGGCCTCCACTGGCACCGAGAATGCCCTGTGGGACTCCCAGGGGAGCCCGCTCCCTTGGCTGGTGCGGCTCCGTGCACTGCTCCCGGCCTGCCTCGGTGCCTTATGCTGGCCACTCCCTGTCAGTGACCTGATGGCCGCCACCTGAGCTTCACCTGGATTGTCTTTCGCCTGGGTCACCTGATCCTAATCAGACTCTCCTTTAAAAGTGACCATCTCGACCTCATCTCACACTCAGGTGAATTCCCGCTTTCTCTGCTCTTTCTTACCATGAACCCCAGTAAAGGATTATTTACCCCAGTAAAGGATTATTATGTTATTGGTGCCTAAAACATACACATGCAAAGCCAAACTCTCGCCCCTTCCTCCCAAAAAGTGTTCCATCACAATTTTCCACATTTCCATATTTCACTTCATACTTCCTGTTATTCCTGCCACGAGCTCTGACTCCCCTCTTCGTCCTAGAGTACATATATATATCTCCTGGCAGATCGTGGCTCTTCAAAATACACCTTGAATCTTGCTGCTTTTCGTCACCTCCATTACTCCATCTGGACCAAGTCGCCATCATCTTTTGCCTGAATTACTGGACTAGCCCCCATGCTAACTGTCTTGCTTCTTCCCTGCCCTCGCCTTCCCCAGTCCATCCCAGCCTCTGCCCCTCACAGACTCAGCCTCCTCTCCACCTGGCAGTCAGAACCGTCCCCTGCTTAGGCCACTCCAATGGCTTCCTGTCTCACTCCCAGTAAAAATCAAAGGTTTCCTAATGGCCCACCCGGCCCTAGCTGGTCTTCCCCTGTCACCTGTGACATAGTCTCTCATGACTCTCACCAGTCCACAGGGTACCGCTTGCTCTGTCTCCAGAGGTCAGCCTGTTCCTGCCTCAGGGCCTTTGCACTTGCTGGGTCTTCCATCTAGGATGCTCATTTCCCAGTTATCGGCCTGGCTGACCCCTCCCCTCCTTTAGGTCTTTGCTCAGATAGCGTCTTCTCCGTGTTATTTCTGTGACTTCCTCATTAAAAGCATAATTTACCCAGCTCTTTCCCTTGGCCGGGCCCTTATTTTTCTGTCTTATTTTTTCCCTGTGGTAGTTCTTACCAAACAACCTACTACTTCTTGTGCTTTCTTTCTTGTCTGCCTTCTCCCACTCAAATGTAGGCTCCGTAAGAGCAAGAATCTTTGTTTATATTCTTTATGACTTTATTTGCAATTTCTAGAATAGTGCCTGATATTTAGAAAGTGCTGAATAAGTATTTGTTGAATGAATGAATTATGGTCTCACTGCTTCTGTTGTTTTTTTTTTTCTTCCCCATGTTTTCTTTGCACAGAGAGAAGTCTTTTTGACGCATAATTGATTATTTCACTGGTTCACTTAAAACTCTTTAAAGCCTTCCAGTTGCTCATAAAATGAAGACACACATCCTTAATATAGCTTATGATACCCGGTCTGATCTGAGGTCTGTTACTTGATTTTCAAATCATGCCATTTACCTTCTCACTTTTAACATTCAAGCTACCTTGGACTTCTCTTGTTCCCTACAAAATACAATTCTCCTTCCTACCTCAGGACCTTTGAACATGCTGTTCCCTGTTCCTGAGCTGCTTCTCTCCCCATTCTTCAGTGTTTTACCCTATTTTTTCCCCTTGTACCATAAGAGCATTGAAAATAATCTATTGTTTCAGAGTGAAGGAGGTGATCAGGTAGTTATTTGAACAATATGCAGAAAAACCAAGTTGTCTTGAGTTAATTATTCTCTGCTTTACTTCTGTGCTCTAACCTTGTATAATCACAGCCAATTTCCTTAAATATATAGCTGTATTCATTCATCATTTATTTATTCATTTCTTCAGAACACATTTATTTAGTGCCTGTGCAAAGCGCCATTGAACCCCATTTTTCAAGGTCTGAAACTGGGCTCTCTGGCTGGCTGTAAGTGTAGCGTTCACTTCTAAAGCCACCATCCCAACCGCCAAGTGTGCGCCAGGCTGTGCCTCGATCAGGGGGTACAAAGATAAGTGAGAGAGGGCTCTGCCTTTGAAGGCTAGAGATCAGATGAAGCGGTAAGTACGCAAAAACTGGACATTTCCCTCCCTGCTGTCTCTTTGCCTTGGACCCCTTTATGTTGCCTAGCTCATTAAAATCAGTATTAAGTTGTTTTCATTCTTTTTTTTCTCTGTTCTGGCTTTCTTGAACTCTGTAAATATGATTTAAAATGTCTATAACTGCTTCACTTAATGGCAACAGAAATTATCGGCTTTGAGAAAAAAGATGAGTTGGAACTTTAAATTTATATGTAGTGAATATTTATAAACAGTAATGGCAATATTCTCGAATAATAAAATTCAAATGATATATTTATTCCTTTCAAATAACAGCACAAGAGAACTACTAAATGATTATAGGGAGAATATTAATATTTGGCCATTAAAATAAAATATTATTAAGGGGAAGAGATAGTTCATTTCCTGCAGCTCACGTTCGTCGCCCACGGGAATTAAAGCCGTTATGAAGGGGCAGCTCCTTTATTGGCTGCAGCAAATAACGCGCTTAACAGGTCTGTTCTCACTGGTCATCATCATTATCATCAGCAAACACTTACAGAGCACCTGATGTGGGCTGGGAGCTTTTCATCTCGCTGGGAAGACAGGGCGTATTTATAACAAAGACAGATTACAATACAGTGCAGTAAGTGCCAAACAAATGCCATTGAAAATAAGTGCAGCAGGGAGTTTAAAGTAGGGGAAGTCATTGGAAGGAGGTGAGACTTGCTCTGGGTCTAGAAGGAAAGGCAGGTATTAGACCAGAGAGGAATATTGGGCTTTTTCAGGTCAGGGAGCACAGTGGGCAGGACCAGAGATGCCCACGGAACGCCGGCAAAATAATGAATCCCTTGCAGATGAAGAGTAGGCGTTGAGTAGGTGGCAATGGCGATTAAATCAGTGGGCTCTGGATAATAATAGCCTCGAACACTTACATACAGTGTAGTGTGTTACGCTTATTAACTCACTGGATTTTCACAACACTGCTCTGAGGGAGACAGTATCTCACAGGTGAGGAAGCTGAGGCATGAAGTGGCTCACTGGTTACCCAAGATGTCACAACCCAGCGATGCTGAAGCAGACATTCCCATTCTACACCAGGAGCGCTAAGTCACGAGGCCGGTGGGTCTCAGTGGGAAGGCTGCGGGACTTGGGGTCTCTCCTGTTGTTATTGGGGAGCACAGCAGTACAGGCACTACGGGTTGTATGATAGGGGTGCTGGGAATAAAAGAAGATCTACTCTGGCTGTGCTAGGCTGGAAGCAGGGAGATGGATTGGGACAGAGCTTCCTGG